GTTTTTAACTGGAAAGAACTCTTGCTCCACTATTCATAAAGTTTAAAATTTGTGGTAAAAATTTCGGTTAAAAACTTTATCTCAGATTTTATATTTACTGCTGATAAAATTGTAGTATATCTCTGATGGCAACACTACATTGTACAAGATGTCTTCACAGGGTGCTGCAGCACCTTCTCTTCTTTGTCTATCTGAGATGTTGAATCCCAAACTCTGATACCTGGATGAAGGATGGGTTATCCGTAAGACACTGGGAAAAGCATTCTGTGAATATAGAAGAGTCTTAACCAAATGTACTACATGACTGAAAAGTTTGGGGAGACATGGACTTCCTTGGATATGGCACTGATATGTATGTGCCTTAACCAAATAAGCATGGAGCTTTTAAAAAGCCTCATGTGAACACTTTCCAAAAGTTTTTTAATACAGGAATTATTTTGCAACTCATTAATTTCCATTATGTTTTATGTTTCTGGCAGTGGAAGAATTTTTGTTCCTGCTTCTTCTTCTTCTTCCCCTTTTCTTCTCCATGACAAGTCTGCTCAGAAAGAGCCTCCAGTCTCCTAGATATCCCTAGAAACGTATCATGCATGCCGTCTAAAATACCTGTTCATTCTTAAAACCCCAGATCATATATTACTTCCTCCAAGAGCCTTTTTCTAATTGCCCAGGAAGACTTAGTCCTTTTTTTTGTTCTATGACCCTACAGCCTGTGAATACAATCCTTATTATGCTTCCTTGTAAATTACTCATTGATATGTCTGTCTCCCTGAATAGATCATGAATAGGTCAAAGGGAGGCACTTTATCTGGGTGACTAGATATTCATTTGGGGCATGGAAATATGAAAGGGCAGGGAGTGTTTGGTAGACCTGATTGAACTTGGTGACCAGTTGCCAATGGGAAATGGAAAGAACAGAGAAAAATAAAAATGTTTCTACGATTTCATTTGTTCCTTCAACAATTTAGCAACTACTCTGTTACAAAAAAAGTATCTAGATTATATTTCATTAAGAAAACATGGAAATAGGCCAGGCACAGTGGCTTATGCCTGTAATTCCAGCATTTTGGGAGGCTGAGGCAGGCAAATTGTTTGAGCTCAGGAGTTCAAGACCAGCCTGGGCAACATGGTGAAACCCCATTTCTACACACACACACACACACACAATGAAAGAAGGTAAGAAAGGAGGGAGGGAGGGAGGAGAGGGAAGGAGGGAAGGAGCGAGCCAGGTGTGGTGGTGTACGCCTGTAGTCCCAGCTGCCCAGTAGGCAGAGATGAGGGATCACCTGTACTGGTAGTTGGAGGCTGCAGTGAGCCATGATCATACCACTGCACTCTAGTCTGGGTGACAGAGTGAGACCCTGCTCAAAAAAAAGAAAAACGAAAACAAGGAAATGTAAAGGGAGAAGTATTAGGTGAGAACAGGTCTGAAGAGGAGGTGCAGGGTCCAGACTGAAGATGTAATGGGGAGCCATCAGCAAAGCAGGCCTGGGAACAACCAGGTGTACAATTTGTGGGGCATAGTACAAAGTAAGAATATGGGGGCCCTTGTTCAAAGAGCAGAAAAAAGTATCATTAAAATCACTGAAGTTACTAAGGTTCTAAAATATAAAGTACTCCCTTTCTTCCAAGGTCTCGCTCTCTCTCTCAACATGTCATGGTGGTTTTTTAATTTGCTATTTAATGTTGCTCTCAATAAAGATTTTAAATTACTGCATGAATTTTAGTGTTCATCTTTATATTGTGCAATGCCAGTTCTAGATGTAAATATCAGAACATTTAGCTCCTGTGCAGAATCACTGAAATCACACGATTCATATTTTATGGCTTGACCCCAGATGGTACCTCAAGCTAGTCAGAGGAAAGGAACACAAGGCATATGTGGAGAAGCTAAAAGGAGAAAGAAGGGGTTCTTCCAGGCACAGACTGACCCAAAGGATCCAAAAATACACTTTGGGTAAGTTCAGACTCTCCTGGATGCTCTAGGTCCTCCCATGGGACTTGGAAGGTCCATATGCACTTGAGCCTGACAGCTGCCATGTTCCGCCTCTCACCAGACCCCATGCACCACACCTCAGTGAGGGGCTGGGAAGTCAAGTCAGGCATCTCCACTTACCATGAGTCAGTTGTCCCAACCCATGGCAGATGGGCAACCCCAGGGATGTTGCAACCTCTGCCTCAAGATGTGCTAGGGACCTGGATCAGAGGTGGTAGGAGGCTGGCCTCGGCTAAGTCATGTACTCTTACTTTTTTTTTCTTTTTGAGATGAAGTCTCACTCTGTTGTCCAGACTGGAGTGCAGTGGCGTAATCTCAGTTCACTGCAACCTCCACCTCCAAGGTTCAAGCAATTCTGCTGCCTCAGCCTCCCAAGTAGCCGGGACTGCAGGCATATGCCACCATGCCCAGTTAATATTTGTATTTTTAGTGGAGACAGGGTCTTGCATATTGGCCAGGCTAGTCTTGAGCTCCTGACCTCAGGTGATCCACCTACCTCGGCCTCCCAAAGTGCTGGGATTACAGGCATGAGCCACCACGCCCAGCCTCATACCCTCACTCTTGAGCTGTGGAGCTGCCAGGCTAGGCTGAGGACAGCTGCTGTTGCCAGGCCTCGAACACATATGCAGATGCAAAGACCCCAGCCCTTCTGGCACCTGCACTCAGCTCCCTGCCAGGGTGGAGAGTGGCAGCAGTCTTTGGGGGAAGGGTTATAGGAGGAAGGCGGCAGGACCTGAGGTGTAGAAGGGTGAAGGAACGCGTGGCCAAGAATTCTTCCCAGGTTGAGAAGTGAGAAGGAGGACAATGAAAAGAAGGAAAGCACTTGACCCGAAATGCTAACTCCCTGGTACATGCTCATTATCTCATCATACTTCACTCACAAAACACAAATTCAGAGATAATGTTGTAAGAATATCAAGACAGCAGCTGCAGAGCACTAACCCACGAGCATGGGGACCTTCTGAATGTGAGGCCCAGGGCAACTGCACTGACTGCAAGCCCAGGAAGCTAGCCTTGGGTCTACAACATCTCCCACAAAGAGGAGAAAACAGAAGGGGACTAGGAAGGAACACAGGGATCCTCAATATGATTAAAGTAGATGTGAGGGCCAAGAGAACAGCAGAAAAATAAGCAGAAACAAATAGGCAGAACCTATAAAGAACCAGGCCCAGAGGCCAAGAGAACCATAGACTCAAATACAATACAGGCTTCTTCTCAGGGATCTACAGTGATGTCCACTTTCCCTACAAGCATTAAAAAAAAAAAAAATGAGCCAATAGTTAGAAATTAGAGGCTGAGCACAGTGGGTCACACCTGTAATCCCAGCACTTTGGGAGGCCAAGGTAGGTGGATAGCCTGAGGTCGGGAGTTTGAGACCAGCCTGGCCAACCTGGTGAAACCCTATCTCTACTAAAAATACAAAAATTAGCCAAGCATGGTGGAGGGTGCCTGTAATCCCAGCTACTCAGGAGTCTGAGGCAGGGAATCACTTGAACCCAGGAGGTGGAGGTTTCAGTGAGCTGAGATCGCACCACTGCACACTCCAGCCTGGGCGAAAGAGTGAAACTCAGTCTCAAAAATAAAAAATAAAAAGAAAGAAAAGAAAAAGAAATCAGAAACATTCTCATAAAAACCAAGCTTTTCTTTAAAAAAAAAAAAAAAAGGTCAAAAGATTTATCAGTGCAGTGTTCACATTCCTCCATGGCCAAAATCAACCAGAGACAGCAGCAGGTGCTGCCTTGGAAGGGACACATGCCCACCATTTGACAGGCTTCCTGTGACTCACCCTATGTCTGCATGTGCAGCTATACCAAACCCAGCCTCACCCGCAAAGACTGCAGCCAGCCTGTGGGCATGTGAGTTTGGAGCCTAGGGTCTGCACTGCGGGTGCAATGCCACAGAAGGTCAACCAGGAGGAGACCTAAACATAGGTCACTGGATCTGGCAAAGAGGAAAGCATTGGTGATCTTAATAAGGACAATCTGAATGGAGTTTTGGGATGGAAGCCAGATGGCAGTGGGCGGAGAAGTGAATGGGAGGTGATGAAGTTGAGCCAGCAAGGGTAGAGACTAATTTTTTCAGCATTTTTTGACATAAAGGGGGGTGATGGAAAAGGAGATTGAACCCACCCAGCTACCCCTATGCCTCCCTCATGCTCCTTCCCACACATCCTCTTTAACTAAATAAAGAAGGAAAGCAACATGAAATGAAGCAAGAGCTCTGTTTGAAATTTTACACGTTAGAAAAAAATCAATTCAAGACCAGAAGTGGAAATTAACTGGGCTTTCACTGTGCCCAATTGTAAGTGTCATACTCAGAGATATCATAAGTATTTATTGCTGCTGGCATTGGTGGTTAGAAAAAATAAAATTAGGCTGCTTGAGACTAATTCACAGGTTTTAATTTTTTAAAGCCACTTTTAATTTTTCATTTTATGATGGTATCATTTTTATAGCAAGTTTTAGAAAAAAAAACCATTTTGTTTATATCGTGGAAAGAAAGCAGAATTGCACAGTTTAGGAGCTACTCTAAAAACCCAGGAAACTATCTGACAGCCTTATGCATGTTTCAAAATAGCAGGTAAACTACTCAAATCCTGAGACGTTGTATAGAATAAGCAACATTCCTCCATTCAATTGTTGAATAAACGAATCTTAAAATAAATAATGACATCTGTTTCCACCTACTGCAGTGTTGTTTGGATATTTCACGGACTTGTTTGTTCATATAGAATGTAATTTGAAAGGCTGATATTTTATTATGAACATATTTAGGTTGGGATTTAGCAGGGTCTGCATTTTATGAAAGGTCTAACTTGGGGTCAAGTATTCCCTATCCCAAAAGTGGAACTTACCAGAATTATCAGGGCATACAGCTTCTCGCTTGGTGCTACTGGAAATGCTCTTGGATTTGTTAACGGATTCTGCAAGGCGATTTAGGTCAGGTTTTGGAATCCTTGCAAAGTAATCAGATTTTAACTTTGACTTCCGCTAGTCTGACAAAGTACAGGAAGCCTGTTCCCTCCCACTGTGGCCTGCTCTTACCAGCTGTTTAGAATGCGTTCTGCAGACTTCACCGGGGCTCATGAGATATGCAGCTTTCAACACAGAAAGGTGTGTTTTGGTTTGATTTTGTGACTTTGAATAGATGTCAAGTACATAAGACAAGCTATGTTTATTTTTTTAAAAGGGAGAAAGTTGTATAGTTCTTTTATTCCTGTTTTTCATGAAGTCATAGATGTCAGCCAGCCTCTGCTTCATAAACTGCTAGATATCTTTAAGAAAAAGCCTTGAGCTAGTGTCTACAACTTTAAGTACCAACCTTTGATACTAATAAATACTTTCAGCCTCTACAGTAAGCTGATACAGTGTCTCTCTGAAATCCATGCTTGCAAGTCAGTGAGCCAGCTTGGTATACATACATCCAACAACCAGCCCATTCTACGCGCAGATGCAGGTGGTATCAGAAGTTGCATGGGTAGGTAGGTGAGGGTATTAGGAGGTAAGGACTTCGTGGCAGACAGAGGAAATGGATGGGAAAGGGGCCAAGAGAATGGGAAAATGAGCCCTTCTCATTGCCTTATTTCTTGTGATTCAATCACTTACTTTAGCTACAAGAAATATAGATCCTGTCCCTGCTTAATCATTGAAGCTGATATCTGCAAACCCAGTGGATTTTTCTTCAATCTTTACTCTCCTTAACACCTTGCAGAATGTGACAGTCTTTATTTAGGAAAAGAAAGTCCAATTTTTTATAAAATCTCCTTCTTTCTGGGCTTATGTGGTACCAACTGTCTTGATCCTCCTGCTATTAATACTGTCCTCCTTTCTAACCAGCATTTCTCTTACCTCCAACGTCTCATCCTCCCCAGCCTCACCCCCACCTCCCATGCAAGTCTGGCTTCTCTGCTCTTGCCCTTAGTGATCTCATCCGGTGTCCTGTTTTTGCTTCTCTCCTCCGTACGGATGATTACTAAATCATGTTATGTAGCCTCAGCTTCTTTGCCAAGTCATAGATCAATATCCGTGAGTAGTAGAAAGAGCTAAAAGATTGGAATCTAAATCAAATGACATCACATATATGAAAACTCTAAGTGCTATACAGGTGCCAACCGTTATTCTCTGTCTTCCATAGCTTTCAAGCCACTTTCCTTGTTCCTAATCCCTTCCTGTGGCCCCACCTTCCAGTTAAACAGGGGAAACATTGTGGTGCCATCGTTGTTTTTCCTCTCTCATTCATCTCATCCAACCAAATGCCTCTAAATACTACATTTCTGACCGTCTATTGGATCTTTCTCTTCTAACTCATCACACCCACCATTAAGCAAAATGGTCTTCTCATGCCCATCTCCTGTTATAGCACTTGACTCAGGCCTCAGTGAACCTTCAGTGCTTACCAAAACCAGTACAAGCTTTTCCACCCAGTATTTGAGCTTCTCCATGACATAGACCTTCTATGCCTCTGCGGCTTATTTACTTGCCACTCTCCTGTTCAATCACTATGCCCCCGCCAAATGGGTTGATTTTTACTCTTCACAACCTCTCCAAACATTCCCAATTCTAGATATTTGCTCAGGGCTGTCTCTCCAGTGGGATGAATGCCTTTCTGTCTTCTCCCCCTATCCTGTCTTCAAGGCAATATTGGTCTGGGTCCAGGCTGGAAAATAGATGCCCACTCTAGATGTTTCAAACACAGGGAATTTGATACTGGGAATTGGTTTCCAAGGTGCTGGAAGGTTAGAAGAGTCAATGGGAGAAACAGAGGGGTTAAGGGATCAAGAAAAGAAGCCATAGCTAAACTCCCTTGGGCTGAAGTCCCTACATTTACACCTGCTGTTGTGGGGCTTGCCAGTTCTGGATATACAAAGAGACATGACTGGAACTGCTGGAAAGGCACTGGCACTGCCCTCCTGGCTGCTACAATCTGGAATTCTCCTCCTCCCTGCAAGCCCTGCTGCTGCTCCAGCACCCTCCGGCAGTCTTCACTCTCAAAACTAGAGCAGGACTCTTCTCTCTGCTGCTGTCTTTGAATTTTCCTCTGGACCCAGCTGGCAAGGGAGCCTAGAAAATGTAGTTTTCAGATACCCGGTCCTACTTCTACAGAGCAGAATATAGAAGGGCAGCTGGGGGTGCAGAACAACAGGTAAAAAGCTGGACAAGGGCCCAATACAAACACTACATGTTACCTGAAGCGTTTCTTGACTCACTGCCTCTCACTGCCTCTCCAACACCACCAGCTCCGGGAGACTTCTCTCTCTTCTGAATTGTCCATAGGTCTCTTTGAATTCATTGAAAATATGTTCGTTGAGGAACTCCTCTGTGTCAGGTACTGTGCTAGGAGCTGAAAATACAACTATAAGAAGACAGACTTGGCTGCCATTCTTCTAGAACTTCATGGGGTTTAAAGTCTAGTTAAGGAGACGTACAATTAAATAAGTGATTACATGTAACTTGGTGAACATGAAGACGGGAAGTCAAAGTGTCAGGGCACATATGAATGATGTTTAAACCAAACTGGAAGGGTCAGGAGGTGCTTCCAGAGGAAGCCAGTCTGAAGCCAAAGAAGCAAGGGCCAGGGAGAAATGCCTTTGATAGAAACAAAATCATGTCCAAAGGCCCAGAAGTGATAGAGAGAGAGCACTTCACATGCAAGAACCAGAATGCACATGGTGTAGGCAGCGTATGCATTTCAAAGGGGAGAATGGGAAAGACGAGGATGGGGAGAGATAACAGCTAGAGAAGACAATACGCCTCATAGAACACAATTCCTGGTGAGCCACTTTAAAGTTTGAACTTTAAGGACAATGGGAAGACATTGAATTGATCAGGTATTCATTTTAGAAGTTCATGTTGACTTCAGGGCAGAGAACAGGGCAAAGGAAAGCAGGACAACTATTTAGGAGGCTGGTAGAGAAATCAAGAATAGTGGCTGAGACACGCATATGGCATTAGAAAGATGTGGTGGATTCAAGCCGTGTTTAGAAAGAAGAGTTGACGTGCGTACCTGGGAAATGGGAAGTCAAGGATGGATCCTGCACTTCTCCTTTACTAACTGCATGAACAAATGTGACACTGCTGAGATGGAGAATGTACAAGGGTGATGTTTTGGGAGTGTACACGTTTGCTATTGCTGCTGTAACAAATTATCACAAATGTAGTGACTCAACGCAAATGTATTATCTTATAGGTCTGAATGGCAGCTGTCCATGTGGGTCTCACTGGGCTAAGATCAAGGTGTCATCATGGCTGCATTCCTTTTGCAGGCTCTAGGAGAGAATTCAATTCCTCACCTTCTCCAACTTCTATAGGCCAGCTGCATTCCTCGGCTCATGGCCCCTTCCTCCATCTTCAAAGCCAATAGAGTTGCATCTTCTTATCTCTCTCTATGACTCTGACACTCCTGCCTCCCTCTTATAAGGGCACATGTGATTGCATTGGATTCACCACATAATCCAGGATTATCTTCCCTTGAAGATCATTAGCTTATTCACATCTGTCAAGTAAGTCCCTTTTGCCATATTCACAAATTTCAGAGATTAGGATGTGGACATCTTTGGAGGCCATTATTCTGCCTACCACAGGGAGTAAGGGCACAAATATGAGTTCAGTTCTACACACGTGGGTTTGGTGAACACGGCACATCCAGGCGGTGATGCTGAGTAGAAAGCACTATAGCTGGGTCTGAACCTTAGGAGTGAGATTTGCTTGATCATCCAAATGCAAGCATCATCAAAGTATAGATGGAATTGAAAACAGGGACATAGACGGGGTCTCCCTTGGCAAAATATTTAGAGTGGAAAGAGAAGAGGAAAAACTTTGAGAAATATTATCCTTCAACGGATAAGCAAAGAATCCTCTGAAGAAGAATGAAAATGAGTAGCCAGAAAGGCAGTAAGGACTGGAGGTGAGGAGCAGTTTTGGTCTCTCTTCAGGACCCCAGAGTCTCCCATCTCCACTTCTTTGCACGTCTTTCCTCAAACCAGACCTTCATGATATTGGTGCATGCACCCTGCTAGCCACCAGCCCAGATTGACGATTGTCTTTTATTCCCAATTTAAAATCCCAGGAGAGAAAATATGATGCCCCCATGTTGAGTCTAGGCATTGATCCACCCCCCATCACCTCATGATACATAATGGGCACTCAGTTAACATTTGTTAAATTAATATTTGTTGAATGAATGAAGTCAGAGGTTCACCTGTCATCTAACAAGCTATGACCACAAGGTATCATCACAGAGCACACACATGGCTCTGTGAGACCAACATGTATTAGTCCATTCTCGAATTACTATAAAGAACTAGCTGAGACTGGGTAATTTATAAAGAAAAGAGGTTTAATTGGCTCATGGTTATGCAGGCTGTACAGGAAGCATGGCTGGGAAGTGAGGCCTTAGGAAACTTACAACTAGAGGGAAGGCAAAGGGGAAGCAGACACATCCTACATGGCTGGAGCAGGAGGAAGAGAAGGAAGAGATCTCATAAGAACTCACTCAGTATCATGAGAACATCAGGTAAGTCTGCCCCCATGATCCAATCACCTCCCACCAGACCCGTTCTCCAACATAGGGGATTACCATTTGACATGTGATTTGGGCAGGGACACAGATCCAAACCATATCACTACCTCTGGGTGGGGAAGATTTCTATAGGAAAGTGTAGGCTGAGCAGACAGCCCTAAATACAGCCACATCTCTAAAGCCTGCTTAGTTCAATTCCTCAGTAAATCTCTGTGAACTCACCTCCCGGTTGGGGCTTTGGGAAGTTCCTGGCTGGCCATTAGCAGGCAACAGAATGTTTAGTGACATATTGTGTGGCAGAAACAAACCTGCACAAGTTCTATTATCCATGGCAGTTTTTGTAGCACAAGCTTCCTTTACCAACAGCCCCATCTGCTTTAAAATACTTTAGAAACATTTCAGCTCTAAGAAGCTCCTCTTTGCTTGAGATTGAAATCTCACCTTTACTGCTACTGACTGAATGATTCAATTTATTTGACAGTCTGGAAAAGACAAAAAGAGGGACAGTGGTTGCCAAGTGCTGGGGAGCGGCCAGAGAAGTTGATTACCAAAGAGTGCAAGGGAATTTTTTGTGGTGATGGAAATATTATTTCATGGTTCTATGTATTTGTGAAAACTCAGAACAATACCCTGAAAAGAGTGATTTTCCTGCTACTGAATGATACCTCAATAAATGTGACCCAGCCTTCCAAAAAAAAAACCCATTTCTTCCTGCTGATTCTTGTGCATCCCCGATTTTTCTGTTGTGCCACCTTCTAGCTTGGAACTTGTGAAGTCTGATTCCTTGTGTCAATCTAAATAGGTCTGTTACCCGTCAATGTCAAGTGTTTCCTCACTTGTCCCTGTGTGTGTCTGCACTACGACTTCAGCTCCTTGATGGCAGAGGGCAGAGAATACTTACAATACTTTGATTGTCTTCCTTTTGTTGACTCAGCACTCACTAATTTTGATAGGGTGTATTTGGTTTTTGTTTTGTTTTGTTTTTGTTTTGAGATAGGGCCTTGCTCTCTCATCCAGGCTGGAGCGTAGTGGTGCGATCTCGGCTCACTGCAAACTCCACCTCCTGGGCCCAAACAATTCTCTTGTCTCAGCCTCCCTAGCTGGGATTACAGGTGTGTACCACCCTGCCCAGCTAGTTTTTGTATTTTTAGTAGAGATGGGGTTTTGCCGTGTTGGCCAGGCTGGTCTCTGATCACCTGACCTCAAGTGATCCGCCTGCCTTGGCCTCCCAAAGTGCTGGAATTACAGGCGAGAGGGTATGTTTTAATCCAGAAGAGCAGTTTTGATTTTGATGAACTTTTTGGTAGCCTTTCATTAATTTGGTGCCCAGTCTAGCTCCTTCCTTTTTTCCCTTTGAAGTAATTTGTTAAAACTTCACTAGATGTTATTGTACACACATGAAATGTTCTCACCAGACAGCGTGTAAAGCTGAACATTAAACAGGAAGATAGAATGCCTAATTATTCCAAATGTAGAAAGTAACAAGAGGACCAGTGTTTCTACTCCTTTGCCTTGAAAAGGAAAGGAGCTGTAGACTTCTGGAACATCACAATTTCTTTTCTCCCCAGTTGGACAAGCCACAGCCTGAAGCCTGGCAGGCCCATCGTGCTTGTGTTTGCAATGCCAGAATCTATGATTCTAAAAGGTATCAGGTTTCGAGAAAAAACAGAATTCTACCTGTGAAGGATCAGGGAGGGATTTCCCACCCGGAGTTAGGCCGTAGGGCAAAAGGATTGCTTTACCACCATCATTTGCCAAAATATCTGATTTCCTTGAGTTGCACAAAAAGACAAATCATGGTTTAAAGAATCCGTTTTTATTTTTGTCTCATCCCCTGGGAAAATTTGGCATGTGGAGTTCTTGATTTTTACTGTTAGGTGTTTAACATCACCCATAGCTTGCCCAGCATGTAGAAATCTTTCTTGAAATTACTTTCATTTCAACACAACAACCAGCGGGATAATAGGATCAGGCACTTTGTTTCTGCAAAGCAGCTTGAAGTTGGTACGCATCATGAACCTGGCCGATATGGGAGCCTTACTCATTTCAGTCAATAACATCTTTAAATGTTTAAGGAAGGGATTAACAAACTGCTGCCATGGGTCAAATCTGGCCTCCCACCTGTTTTTGTAAATGAAGTTTTATTGAAAACCCATCATGCTCATGTGTTTCTGTATTGTCTACAGCTGCTTTTTTTTAAAAAAAAAAAAAAAAACAAACTATAACAGCAGAGTGGTGTAGTTGCTGCGGAGATCACATGTCCTGCAAAGCTGAAAATAGTTACTATCTAACCCTTCTGAGAAAAGTTTGATGACCCTTGCTCTAAGAGATTACATTTCCTAGAGTCAGTTTCAGCATCCCCATCCGTCCTGCACCAGGCCTCCTTATTTTTGAGGATGAAAATGGAGAGCTAGCATCTGCAGTGTGATCCTCTCTCTCATAAATATACATATTTTATTTTCAATTAAAATAGGGAAAAATAATAAGATTATTGAGGTTTTTTTTCCCTAGAGAAAACTTAAGCAAAGATTCCAGTTGGCCCTCTTTGTGATATATGAAATTTGTGTCTGTGTGTATGTCCATATGGAACCTAAATAATAAATCACCTAAAACAATTTATTGGAAAAAGCAATCACTCTTTAGCTTTTCGTGAGTTATAGACCCTTTCGGGTACCTGCAAAGATCTAAATATCCTCTCCTCAGGGCTAAAAATGGGCATATACACCTCATTCAAACTGTGTGTATAATTTCAAGAGCTCATAGAGATCTGAGGCTAGCTTGCTCAGTCCAGGAAAATTACTCCTTTACTGAAGGATGAGTCTCCATAGGCAGCACTCCAGGCACTAAGCAGCTTGAGGACGAGTCACAGATGGTGTTAGGGCAGTTCCAGCATTCATATAATCACATCTCAGTCACTTTATTTTATAGAACCTGAAGTCTTAAGGAGTTTTCAGGCTGAAGAGGCCAGTCTGAGTCCTGGTTCTTGTAATTTTAGGCACAAACAAAAACTTTGAGAGCCTCTGAATTGTAGAAGCTTCAGTCTGGTCATTAGGAGCTAACCAGTACCAGAAGAAAACTGCAGAGGTCAGAGGAAAGAAAAGTCCCAGAAATATGCAAACGCTGTACAACTCTGAGAGTTCTGTAAGCACCCCCAGCCCCACCCCACATCTAATTACAAGGACTTGATCCCTTTCAGTTCTGTCTCCCCACTAGCAGCATGCCATGACAGTCAGTTTTGCAGGAACATGTAGTCTGCAGAGGTGGGATGCCACCTACACTTAAAGGAACTAAAGGAATATAAAGATAACCCAGCCAAGTTAAAGACGGGAGCTGGGAACCATCCAGTGGAGTCTCCCACAGTGCTCAACAGTCCTAGTCATTCAAGGGTGTTTATCATTTGCATATACCCATTACTTACTCAAACGCAAACAGAGGAGGTGATTTGCAAGTACCAGTCAAGTTGAGTAAACAGTTATGTAATCGACCTCCAAATTCAAACGTGAGGTTGAGTACAGCCCTGGTAGGCTCAATTTCTTACACTTCTACCGGCCATAGTCCCAGTAGTTCAGGAAACCATAACCCACAGGACTGGCCAAATCATTAAGGCCCTATTTCTCAAATCCAGGTCCTATTGGCTCCTGTACTCTCTATAGGTATGGAAGGGGTGCAGAAGCCATTGCCATTGTCCAAAGATAAGCTACCACCCCACCGGAGAGCCCTGTCACACCACAGCATACCGGGCTGACACCTGTATCAGTTTACGTTGCTCACTAAAGTCATTCCGGGAATGCCACGCTCTTTGTTCACATGTATTACCAAAAGCTGCCAAGACTCAACATAGCAACAGGTTTTAGTCCGGATGAGGTAAAGAAACAAACAAAATCTTACCTGCCTCTAATAAACTTTTACTTTGAACACTTGGTGATTCAGATTCATTGCTTAGCCTAGCTCCTTTCTCTGCTCAATTATAATTGTTTCTGTAGGTATGTAATCAGTTTATTCCTTTTTCTGTGTGAGAGAGGGGGAAAATGGGAAAATTCCACATCTTCATGTAAAAGCTTTCTTTCCTCCCTAACACCCACCCAAGACCAAAGGTGAGTTAGGGGAAAAGGCACTGAACTTGGAGTTAGAGAAGTGGATGTTGATTTGAGCTCAGCCAGTTGCTAAGTGACCTTGGGCAAATCATTCTAGTCCTTTGGACACGTTCCTTCGGCCATAGAAGGCTTAGGATGAGATGATTTCTAAATTCCCTTCTAAATCTGAAATGTGTTTTTGTGATTGCTTTGGAATCCCTTGGGACATTCAAAGAAACTTTGACTCCCGCAGCGAGAACAGAGACTCGGGAGGGACATGGTCTGTGTGTTATTTAAACAACTGAGCTGCGATAAGGTTTTTCCCATTAAGGCATTTGGTGCAGGCAAGCATTTTATAATAAACTTCCCATGAGCTAATTTAAAGCTCCCATTTTTCAAAGTGAGCTCCTTCTAATTACTTGTTATTTGAGCTTCATGTTTCCTTCCAATCTTGAATTCTGGGCACCTGTGGATGCCCAAGCAAAGTCCGTAGCCCTTAAGAAAGATAATTGGTTTGATAAAAGTTGTTAATACAGTGACTAGGGGGTATAAACTAAATGAATTTGTCCTAATCTCCCTTCCTGAGTTCTTTCTGTTCTCAGTCATCACAGCCTCCACCATCTAAAAAGTCCAGGAAAAACGAACATGTACTCGGTGCCTACCAGTGACCAAGCCCTGGTCTAAGGGCTAATTTTGAATATGGCACTTACAACATTCCAGGCACTGCTCTAAGTCCTTCGTATGTGTTCATTTATCGGTGTTTCCTTACAGTCTCAGGAAGTAGGTACTTTTCTTTTTTTTGAGACGGAGTTTCGCTCTTGTTACCCAGGCCGGAGTGTGATGGCGCTATCTCGGCTCACCGCAACCTCCGCCTCCTGGGTTCAGGCAATTCTCCTGCCTCAGCCTCCGGAGTAGCTGGGATTACAGGCACGCGCCACCATGCCCAGCTAATTTTTTGTGTTTTTAGTAGAGACGGGGTTTCACCGTGTTGACCAGGATGGTGTCGATCTCTTGACCTTGTGATCCACCCGCCTCGGCCTCCCAAAGTGCTCGGATTACAGGCTTGAGCCACCGTGCCCTGCCAAGTAGGTACTTTTCTTATCCCTATTTACCAATGAAGAAACTGAAGCACAGAGTGGTCAAGTAATTTGTTCAAGGTCACACAGCTAAGAAGTGACAAACACAGGATTTGAAGATGGGGGTGCTCCCGAGCCCAGGCTCTCAACCGCTTTACTGTTGGGCACTACCCTTGGATGTGCATAGATTTGGGGAGCAGTGTGTTGTAATAGAAGTTTTTGAAATGTCATTTCATCAAGTATTTTACCATTCAAGCACAGGCTAGTCCAAAGATGATTTGGAAATGGCAAAATGGTCTCCCTTTGATAACCATTCAACACAAAACTACCAGCTCCAAGATTCCATGAAACAGCCACAGTTGTCTCAGTACTTTCTTTTCGTCTCTGCTCCAGTAAAGGAGTTCTAGCAAAGCTGCCAGAAGAGCCTCCTTTAGGCCAAGCTAGAGTTTAGTTCACAGGTCATGTTGCCTCCGTCTACGGCAGTCAAAGCTGGAGCCTGAGAGGCTGAAATTCATGATCTTCATCAACATACTTTAATTCTACCTAAGGGTGGTGATCAGAATGGGCATCCCTCGTGTTCACACACACAGCCTGTTGGTTCTCTGCGAAACCCATTTAATAGAAGGGGAAATCAAGGCTCAGAGCACTTCATAAGCCTCCTGGGGACTACCTGCCTAAAGAAAGCCAGAGCCAGGGCCAGAGCAGGGGAGTTCTGATGAGCAGTACCAGACAGTTTCTGTCTACCCTCTAACCCCATAGCTATCAAACGAGATCTTAGAGGAACCATTTCAAAG